ACATTAAAATTAATGATTTGGCATCTGATTTCAGATAAATTAATGAACGTATAGAATGATTTACCAGTAGATACTTATCTAATTTTATTAATGTGTCTGAATTTTAAAGATATTTTAATTCAGATTAAGGTTATTGACTTAGTAAATAACCATTGAGAGCAATAAACATTGAGAACTATCACTTTAAATTCTTGATACAATTTTCAGCCATAATGAATTTTAAAGAAATAGGATATTGATCTTTTTTTTTTAATGATTCTCTTTAATGCTTTAATGAATTTTAATGAATGCAAATAAAATCGGAGCGTAATATAGTAGAAATCCTAGCAAAATTGTGTACATTAAAACTAATTTGCTATTTGTTCAACAATTTCTATTTTCCTAGCAAATAATCCCACCTCAGACATATATTTTATTATTCGCAATGGGTTATAAGTAGTGATGTATGATACATATGTTACGTACGTAAATTTGTATAGAAATTCAATGTTCTCCACGTTCTCTGTGTTCTCTGAGAACACAACTTTTAGGTTACATTTTAGGTTACACTTATGAGAGAACATAAAAAATTTCTAAAGTTATTATATGGAAAAATGAAAATTAAATGAGTTTAAAATCTGTAATTCAAAATTTAAAATAGGAAATGAACTAAATTGATACGTCGCTCATTTAAAATGAATCAGAAATCTGTAACCAATTTCAATTAAAATTAGATTTCTAGTTGTATAGTGTGTAGAGTGTGTTTAGAGTATTTAATATACAATAATATTATTGATTAGCGAATGTTTATCATGAATCACCACGTACGTACGTATAGTAGTACATGTCTAGAATATGTGTGTACGTTATTATTATAATTTTGCTTATTCGCGCAAGTAACACAAACCAAAAAGGAAAATGAATTTTGTAAATAAAGTGCGTGAAGATAGATGTTTAGGGTTAGTACGTTAATATTAGAAGCTATAGCAATATTGTAGCCGTTTGCATTTAAAATTTTGTTCCCGACATTTTTAATTTGTGCGCCAAGGTCGATTTAAATGCTAGTTTTTAGTATTTTTCGCTTTTTTCTTCTTTCACATACACGTGTTCAGAATTTATGCACATAAGTACGTACGTACAGTACGTGCAAAAAAAGTCGACTTAAACACTAGTTTTGGTATTACTCGCTAAAATAAGTACGTCCAAATAATACGGACTTAAATTCACTTATTTATCATGCATCGACTACTTTATTTTTAATTCAAAGGCATTTTTAATTTTTTTTTATATATAACATTAGGCACACTTTATTAACAAATTTTCATTATGGTTTGTAATCATTTAAACGTTGTAACTAAATATGCTGATGACCTGGTTGTATTTTTGTATTTTTTTCAACTATTTTATCTTGCCATACACCTGTATGTATACTGCATATTATAACTCTTAATATAACTATTATGCGTAATCTAAATTACACCATTCTCTTGTCAAAAAATCGATATCTGATAAATTTTAAATAAGAAAACGGGTAACGATCGCATCTCTAATATGGTTGAAGAAAATTGATTCGATAATTAAGCAGTTTAATAATTCATGAAAATAGGTGTAATTATTTAATTTAGCTGGCATTAGGATAATAAAGTTATCAAATTATATTTATTGCACTTATTAATTTGAAAGTTGCGAGAGTGCCGACATATTTATTTTGCACAAAATAATAGAAAGATCAAATCGATTATTATCTGTATTTCTGTATTTATAATTGTCTTCAATAACGTTAACCACAAATATCATCATGAACCATGAAAGTCGCACGGCAGTCAATTATCTTGAAATCGAATCTTTATAAAAAGATCGTTTCGTACCTTATTCAGTGCCATTGTACACAGAAAATTCGGTTGAATAAAATTTGATTTTCGAGACTCTATGCACTTGCAAGGTCATCGCTGCTCGTACTACCCAGTACAGCACGTTCACAATAAATAACCAGCACAAACCTAATTAAGAACTTCAATCGAATGCACTAGGACAGGTTTGAAAATAAAGAGTAGTACAAATACTAAGCCATCTCTTATGTGAGTTAATAAACAACTTGGCTTTCGGTTCACATTATAAATGATCAAATTATTTTTTATTAGCTCAATCTATCAGACTAATAAAATATCCGATGAAAAAAAGGAATCTTTTTAGGAAACAATTTCTAAAAAAAGATGAAACTGAAAAGCTAAATTTATTAAAATTAGCGTTGATACATTATTGTTATTTAGATTTAAGTTATAAATTAATATAAGTCTTATTATTAGAATGAAGAAGACGTCGTTGAAAGTGAAAAGTCAAATCACAGGTTGAGCCTAAATACGTACATATGAACGGAGTTGCACCAATTCAGGAATATGAAATGTATACTTAATACTTGTTGAATTATTAATTTATGTAATTTCGAAGGATTGATTTTGTCCATGTGTAACTTCAGTAACGACTTTATATGTATCGTTCATCCACACTTAACGTAAAAAAATATTATGTTCATGTGTGGCACTCGTGCAATGAAAATTTATTGTTAACTTTAATGGTTCTTTTGATTTTTCGTTATTTATTAATATTTCCAGAAGAATATTTAGACTACTTGTCAGACCCAAATATAATTCTTTTTGTTAAATTCGTTATATTCGAAATAACGAAACAAACAGATATAGTCAGTTATTATATCAAATTTTAAATACGCTAGCTTGACATAAAAGTAAAACTCAAAGCCTGCAGGTAAGTAGTACTCACTTGAATAAATTACTAATCTTTAAAAGATTTGTCTTATACACAATGTTTAACATATTGTCATGTGTAATTTTCTGCCAACATATTTTATTATTTATTATTCGTGTAGTTTTGGCTGTATGATCGAGTTTTCATACACGTAAATACTTTTTTAATACTTTTTTTACGTCAACATGTTCCGACCTATGTATTGTGAATACATCATTCCTTTTAGATAAAGCACTATTATTTCATCATGTCAAATTAATGAAAGAAAGGTTCCATTTTAAATTACATGTCATTACAAACCGACATACATAAATTTAAACTTAAAAATAAATACAATCATTTGATTATTTATATAATTGATTCATTTATAAATACTTTTTTATTTTTTTACAATCAACGTTTTATTCGATTTAGAATTATTATTTTTTTTTGACCTGCGTATTATTTCATGCCTCGTCAACGTATCGATTTCACTCCCGTAAACAGGAGTGAATGTAAAAAACGTCCTAACTGTGTCTTATCCCACGATCTTGAGTGCTCTCATACAAATCAGTCTGCGCAAAAATATTTAATGAGAGGCAGAAGTCGTGATCCTTGCTGGAATCGTGATTCAAGCAGCAGTAGCAGAAGCTCATCAAGAGATGATCTTGATCAAAATCATTATTCTTCAATATATCAAAGTCAACGTTCTCACAATAAAAACAGAAGGCGTGAAAGATCTCCAGGTGATCATCTTAAAACAAGGTATTTCATTCATTTTCCTAATTATAGCAAACTTTATGTTCTATAAAATACCAAAAATCCTCATTCTTTTAAATATCGCTTCCAAATATTGTTAGAAAACATCACTTTTATGAACGTCGAAGAAATCATGAATCTTCCTTGCACCACCCTATTTGCACAACGCTTGAACCACCTTACGTACAAAATCTAATGAAACAAATTAACAATTTAAGTCTTCAATTAGAAATAATGCAAACTAGAATTTCAGCTGTACCTCCAATTCAAACTTCTCCTCCTCTTTCATCTATCAGTGTACAGAATGAAAATGAAAATCATCAAAATACAACTATGCTACTACTTGAAGCTCCCGCTCAATTAGAAACGCCATCTGAAATTAATGAATCTTTAGCTCTGTACTCTAAAAACTCGGATCCCTCTCGATCTTCTCCTAACAAAACAGTAAATTTTCCTTCTCAAATAAACAATGAAGTCGAGCAAGTTAATCAATTTTCACAATCATCTCTCGAACCCATGAATTCCGTTTTTAAGCAAACTTTTCATGATGAAATTGTTAAAAGTCTGGATCATTTACCAACTGAACAACAATTCGATATCACTAAAAATTTTACTCAACAATTAAATCATGTAACTTATGTTACGGTGCCTGCGGTTAAAGCTTTAATTAGTCCTAGATTAGTGTTCACTGATAATGAATTAATCGCGATATTAAGACAACTTCATAAAAGTCGTAGAGGAAAGTGGAAAAGTCGTGAGAAATTAGAAACACATAGGGCACGTCGTCGTATCAGTTCACGGACCAAACGAGTAAATTTTTCCTTCTTTTTATTTTAACAATATATATATATATATATATATACTTTTTTTTTTTTAAGTTAAACTAATTTCCGTTTTATTATTTAAAAAAGAAAATATTCAGTCGAATTCGTGGATTGCAACATATGATTCGTGTAGGTGATTCAATTCTTAATGATTGTCAACCACCCTCACTCAGTTGGGATGAATATCTTCATGATTTGGAACGCGCTGTAAATGATCCCGCATTGCAATCTTGTGAGGAGTCTGATACTGATGAAGCTTTGGCCAGTCAGGAAAGTGATGAACGTCCAACGATCATTCGGAATAACAATAGGGTTATTAAAGTCTATGATAAACCATGGAGGTCTACCAGAGTATGCTCCCGTTTTTTTTTTATAAATTACATAAATACATAGATAGATACATATATATATTTCTCTAATTATATTGAATCATTTATCATTTTTTAAATTAGATCAAATGTCTTTTACGTCGTTGTGACGAAGTTGGTGGATCCGTTTATGGATTAATCAGAAAAAGATGGTACAATGATGAATTATATGTAAATAAAAATAGCCGTCCAAACGACCATGTTCCTAGTTGGTGGATTTCCACAAATTGGTCTTCTAATATTGAATATAATGAAAATCATTATGAAGTAGAACGAGAAAATGATAAAGAGAATGATGATAACGATTATAATGGAAATGATGCTTAATGTTAGCTTTAGAATATGTTTTGCTTAATATTTGTAATATTTTTTTTTTTGCTTTTTATGCATAGTCAATTCCTCATTAAATCATATATCTTTTTTTTTTTTTTTTTTTTTTACTAATTGCTTGTCTATTTTCACATGTAAAGTAAAAATTTTATAAAATGCAATTATAAATACAGTATATAATTGATGTTTATACACATAATTGGACTGGGACTGAGAAAAACTGAAGGCTTTATAAATTCTGCCAATGAGTTGCTTAAACCTTAATCTATTATTACTGTACATACGTTATTTATTTTGACTGAATTAAAATTAAATAATGTGAACTGATCGGTAATTTGTTGTTTGAGAAAAAAAAAAATTACAATAATAATGGGAGAAAGTTAATTTAATGACATCGAAAGGCCATCAATTAACAATGTTACCCAAACTATTTGGCAATAACAATAAGGAGTTAAATACCTTATGCGATATTATTCATCACATAGTTTGGGACGTCCCAAATAGTTTGGTAACGTCGCTAGCATTAAATATCATATAGTCATTTGAAGCATACCTGAAGCATACCTGAAACATATCGCGTATAGTTTTAGCGTATAATTTAAGAGTGACCAAATAATCACTCTTGATTATCATGGTACGTAAGTTTCGAAAATTAACACAATTATATCACACGTACGTATTGTTCGTAGTAATTATGGCGAGCCGTAATGTCGTTATACAATGTGATGTCTAACTTTCTTTAGATTAGAATTATTAAACTTTTTTTTCAACACTTTGAAGCAACAGCAGAGACAGTGCCCGATCCAAAGTGAATCCCTCTCGCCTGTGATCAATCACAAATTAAATTATTTATGTTTGATGGGTATAATCCCTTATCAGTTTTAATATATGTGTAATATTAACGGTCTCTGCTGTTCTTTGAAGCTAGAAGCAACTTTTACAATAATTAATTCGTATATAGTATAATCACGTGTTTTTAAAAATCACTCTAAAATATAAATAAAATCATCTAAACATAGCACCAATAATTTTTAATTAAAATTATTATAACATTCTGTAACTTTAATTTTAATTGTCTATTGATTATATATTTAAATAGCAATATTTAGATTTATTTAAAATTTATAGTGTTAAAAAATTAATAACCAGTAAAAAGAGGTTTTATTTTAAAATGTTTGTTAATATAAATTATTAAATTTCTTGCAGAATAGATAATACTATTAATAAATTTTATTATGTATTACTTTAATTGCAATATCAAATTATATAAAATTATTATTTATTTTAAAATGTACTTATAGTTGTTCGATACCTATCATTGTTTTTATTATATTTTTTCTAAATTTTTATAAATTTTTTATATAAAATTTTTATCTCCAAAAAAATTTAAGTTAGAGTTAATCTTTAGGGTTAGATTAAGATTTAGAAAAAGTTTTAGAAGACATAGAACATATTTACTTAGAACTTCTTATACAGATTAATTGATCAGTATTTGAGATAATGTACTCATAGGTGTAAAATACCATAAATAGGGTTAGAAAAACTCTTAATATTTAATATAAGAAATATATTTTTTGGAATTTACATATAAGTTCTGAAAAGTGAAAATAACTACAAATAAATGCCTAGACTAAAAATAATTACAAATAAGTGCCTGATATTTAAAAAATATTACATATAGGGGCCCAAGAATGTACTGTGACTCAAGCTTGTGACTTGATCATTATTAAGTACATTGCATAAGAAATGTAAGCATAGTATAAGAAATGTAATCATTGATTGTAAATTAGTACATAATTTTAAATCATTAATAAGCATAGTATAAAAAATGTAATCATCGATTGTAAATTAGTATGTAATTATAAATGAGAGAAAAAATATGTTTTTTGTCTTTTTTCTTTTTTAATAAATTTCATTTGCTTTGTTTATTTTATAACAAATCTGATCTATAACAATAATGTCAATTACAATACTGCAAATCAGTATGAAATTTCCTGATATGGAAAGCATTCACTCAGCTCTAGAGAACTACTTAGTTGAAACATCTTTGTTATATAAGTTTAGGACTAATAACTCCAACAAACTACTTGTTGTTTGTCTCTTATATGAAATGAATGAAGCCAGCACTTGTTCTTTTACAGTCTCTGCTAACAAATATAAAGATAGTTATATCTATATTATAAGATTAATTCAACATGATCAAAATTGTCCAACCTTTTTAGAAACATTTAAAGTATATAGGTTATATCTTACAAAGTTCACTGCATTATTAGTTAAAGATATAACAGCATTTAACCTTGTAATATTGTAAATCATCTTCATATAGAAGTATGTACTGAGACATTATATATAAAAGCTTGGAAAAGTTAAGCTATTAATAAAAAATGTAATGCAGAAAAAATAGAAAAGAGTTACTAACATATAAATTCACTACTTGACAATCTGCTGATTGAGAATCTTGAAAGTGTTACTGCATTTGAGTTAGATGGTAGAAACTGATTTACTTATACATTTCTATGCTTATGGCTATAGATTAAAACAGCTAAACATTGCTGGCCTGTGTTTATATTTGATTATTGTCATTTAAAGTCAAGTTACAAAGATATGTATTTTAGTATAAGTGTAATTAATAGTAAAAGCAAGCTTGTTTCTATAGCATTTGCTATTTGTTTTGTTGAAAATTCAGATAACTGAACATGGTTTTGTGAACATTTACATATGATTCTTTTTTAATAAATATGATTAAAACTATAATTATAAGTAATCTTAAAAAGGCATATTAGTATTTTAATATTCAATACTTCAATATAATAATATTATTGTTATAGTAATTATCAATATTTGTAATTATTTATATATTGGATATTTTGGATACTATATAAACAAAACTCCCTAATACTTTTTATACATATTATATGTGGCATATTGAAAAAAATATTAACACAAAATTCAAAACAAAGCTTGAAGATAAAATCTGAACTGTGGCTAAAGCATTACATTAGAAGAATTTAATAAAATAATAGAAGAAAATTTTGATTTACATGAGAAAACATCTATTTATCTTAGTAAAATATCTTCTGCAATATGGACCCTTAGCAAATATTCTCAAAATAGATTTGACCATCTTACTTCTAATAAATCTGAGTCTTTAAATTCTTGATTATATGATAAATGTCTTGTAAAACCATTTGACACAATCATTTTATTTGAATGCAGCATTAATATGTTTTATTACAATCATCACATAACATATTCTTTAATCTAAGCAATATTGGCATCTTTAATTACTTAGCAAAGGGTATGGTGACTTAGTGAAGTAGATAAGTTGTCATCCCCCAAGTGGTAGGTTGTAAGTTCAAAACCCACCGATGGTGAAATTTGAATAATTACCTATATAATATATAGACAGTATTACAGCAATGGCATTCTGTCGATCAGTTGGGATAGGATACCTGTAACTATGGTTGCACCAGCATGACTGGCAGGTCTGGGGCAT